CGTTAGGTTCTCCGCGACATTTATAATAGTATTAGGATTTCGATACCTACTTCCGTTTCTAGGTCTGTTTATAAATATCAATGGAAAGACATTAATTATTAATTTAGAACCTTATTTCAACCATTAAGTTCATAGTTATGGTCGGTTGGTCGCTGAACTGAAAGTTAATGACCTTTAAATCAAACGAGGTTAAACACTATTAACCATGGTTTATATTGGACAAAGTGAACTCTATTCAGGTAACTAAACCATTATTAGGTTAAATATTCAGAAAGTGTTTTAGGTAAACTAACTTCTATAATAATATTACGCTTTTTATCCTCGAAGGGGTAGGCGGAGGACACATTACAGCTGTGATCCCATACCCTGCCTGTATACCAAATTTTATCGAAATCCGATCAGGGTGCTTACTCTTGAAGTCAATCTCAATGTCGATGCAATTACACTCCAATAAAATCAATAATTATTCAATGTCAAAACTATTCAACCCCTTTTTTAAGGGGGGAAAATCATCGAATGACTGCTCCCGCCTGTGTGAGGCGGGAAGGAGTGTCAGACTCTTACTGACTAAAAACCACCCCGTTCCTTCTCCTGCACGTCGAGCCGGAGCCCCGGTTACCCGTTAGGTTCTCATATCGTAGCTGTAACAATAGCATTCAGTATGGAATATAAAGACAAACTCAATACCGTTTACTTCATTCAATATCCGCGCAATACGGATGCAATGGGCGATAGTGTTGCAACTCAAGAGTACGTCCACAATGCCAATGTCGATCGATCGGAATTGGATTCAAGAGTAAGCTCCCAGTAGTTTCAGCGTGGTTGATTGAAAAACACAAAAAACATTACATTTTATAATATTACTGTGAAATTAATTTAATTGTGTCTATAAAATCGGTACTCGACGAGTTAAAATCGAAGTGTTGTGTTAACGGATCTTAGTAGGTATAGTAGTAGGTTTTGCAACACTACATCCTGCCATTAGCAAATAATGAATAAATCATTTTATTATAGTAATTATAAACGGCAGACGAGCGGTGGGCAAGAGTCACTACGATAAAATGGGGTGGATAGGGACAGAAGAGGGGTGAATTGATACTATGAAAAATTTCCCAATATCTATTCACCAATCTTCTGTCTCTATTCACCTCTCGATCCCTATCAACCCCATTTTACGGTACTGAGTGGAGTCCACTCAACGCCAATAGACGTCGCGGTAGGTCGAAAAGGAGATGGTGGGATGAACTATCCAGGGGTCCTATCCAGGTACCTGGCAATCTAAATATCGCAATGGCTTATTCGTATAGTATAATTTCGTATGTACACTGACTTCTAAGATACAGGTTTTTTCCTAGTTTAGAAGTCAGGGCCCTTTTGCTCTGGCCACAGTCATGATCCTGGAAATATAAAACATGTGATCTCTCTGGTAATAATACAGATTTTTTATTTTATTATTTTTTATTTTTTTTAACTTGACACTTAAGAAAAGGATTGGCCACAGAAAGCTATAGGAAGAGACAAGTGGAAGGCGAAAGAAAGGAACGATGGTAAGCAATCGGCGCTGCCCATGGACTCCCGGAACACCGGATGTGTTACAAGTGCTTTACCGGCCATTTTGGGGATTAGGAATTTAGGGATTGTTGAGGATTCGGGGATTGGGGAGATTGGCGAGGGGGGTAACTGGACCTACGGTAACTTGACTGACACGATAAAACTACGCAAGCGTTGTTTCACGTCGGTTTTCTGTGAGGCCGTGGTATTACTCCGGTCGAGCCGGCCCATTCGTGCGCAAGCATAGCTCTCCCTTATATCTTATACTTAAGTCTTTCGTAGTGACTGGGCAACCGTCTGCCGTGCAACATGTCTTACGTCCGATCGACTGTTTATTCCACCATTTTTTTATATTAGATGGAATTGACGTTTGACCACTATCTCGCCTGGTGGTAAGCGATAATGCGGTCTACGATGGAGCACGTCGTCCCATAAGCAACTTATTCACTCGGGTATATATATATTTATTTATTTATTTTATTTACACTTTATTGTGCACCATAAAAACATACATAAAAAAACAAACATAAAAGAATGTGCACAATGGGCGGTCTTATCGCAGAATGCGATTTCTTCCAGACAACCTTTGGCTGGAGCCAGTATTCAGGAGTTGGAAAAAGGGGGTCGTCTAGTGTACAATAATTAAAACAATACATACAATATAATACTATCTATACCTACATACCAAATAAATAATATATAAAATTAAAATAGATATATAACTACTATACATAAGTGAGTGTGTGTGTAGATGTGTCTGTGTGTGCGCGCGCGCGTGTTTGAGTGTGTGTGTGTGTATGTGTGTGTGTTTATGTGTTCCCATGCTAGGTAGGAATTTTTAAAAATAATGACTAAAGAGAGAGGTAATGTTCTTTAACTAGATTTTTAAAATGAGGTAGAGTTTGAGCACGCCTCACCTTAATCGGCAAGGCATTCCACAACCGAGCCGCTTTAATAGTGAAGGAATTACCAAAAAAGGAAGTGGAGTGCAAACTAATATTTATATTAAGATTGTCTGATGATCTCAATAACCTTGTATGTGTGTCACCAAGGAACTGAAAATGTTCTTTTAGATAAAAAGGGGCAGCAGGATTGAAGATTATATTGTAAAGTAATGAGAGAATATGAGCATTCCGGCGAAGTCAAATAGGTAGCCATTTGAGTTTTATTTACCTATTGTTCCGGGATTTTAGGTGTTTTAAGTAAGTGAATTAGGGGAAAAGGTACCTAACTAAAGTTAATAGGTCAAGTAAAAATGTTCACCGAGCATTACATCAAGCTATACAATACCGGTATATTATGGTCTCGCATTGCATGATGTTTTCACACATTCAAGGGTCAATTTATATTGGTTTATTTAGCTTCCAACAATAATCATGGAGTACTAGTTTATTTCAGACATTTAAAGGTCAGCTTATATTGGTTTATCCCTTGATGCGAGACCGTGTACCTTAGTGACTCAGGGCTCGTACACAAAACTGTGATGCGATGCGATGCGACGCGGCATGCGATGCGAATTCGCGACGCAAAATATTACGATGCGAATTGCAGCGATGCGATTTCGTGCGACAAGGCGTCTCCCAGGGTGACCATTCCTTCGACGACCGTCAACCGTACCTACTAAACGTATTTAAAATTGAAAACTATGCAGTGACATGGATCATTAAAAGAAGTGTGCACTTCTGTTATTGCTTAGGAGATACAGGAAAAAGAAACAAAGAAGATTTTGGGAAGATAAGATGTTGATGCGCGATGCGAATCAATTCGCAAGTTCTTGCGATGCGTAGAGGGAGCTCGCACCTTTTTACGATACAACGTCGCATCGCAGTTTTGTGTACGAGTCTTCAATAAGACATTGATAGTAATATTTTAATCAACACATGTGTCATATTGTTATATGCGTCCGTAATCTTATTAATTGCAATTTAATTGCATTATTACTGTTTTATCTTTTTATAAATTATGTCTTACATGATATTATATAAAAACGGCGTGATAGTAGCTATTATTATGGTTATTGATTAATTTATTGGCTGTGTGATTCATAACATAGTTGAGCGATTTCAAAGACGACTATTGAGAGATTTCGGATTTGGTGTCTGATATGAGTAGGTACCGTACCAAGAAATTGTTTTACATTTTCTAAGAGGTTGAAGTCAGTTTGTTAAACGTAATTGAATGAAAATTAATTCAAATTTCCTTTATTTAAAAAGTGCGGTTTCAACCGACTTTTTATTACCCACTGGCCCCATGTAACGTACGGGCAGTACCGTCTTTGCCACTCGGGACCCGTACCTAGGTCCCCCAACCACAGGGAGCCCAGAAGGACCAACAATTTCTACAACGGATACACACCCAAGCATACAAGGGGCCAGTAGAATACCAGCGCAAGGGCCTGTCTTGTACATGCTGAACTAGTCCCATTTCACGGCAGACTTGTGACATGAACATGTATCCATCAGTACCTACTAATAGAATGACTTATTTGTACATGTTATTTGTTTTTTGGCGTGAAATAAAGTTTTTTTCTTTCTTTCTTTCTTTCACCCGCTTCCTCGGAGCAAATCTTTGTGTGATCCTTAAGTTGTTGTTTCGGGTCGGGGAGTCATTTGTATATGAACTTGTATGTTTGTGAATACCCATGATACAGGAGAAAATCCTAGTGTGGAGTAACGAAAAAACAAAACATTTCAACAGGGCCCCGAATTATGGTGTGCCCAAGGGCCCCAGTGTAGTAGTCTAAGACGTTAATTTGCATGTTAAGGTAATACATACAGATCTTATGAAATTACAGGCACTGCATATCAGCCTTTTTCAGGCGTTGCAAATTTTAGGGGTGTCACCAGCTTATTATAAATTAAATTTTGGTTAACTTTTTTTACATATTTATTTGTTCGGGATATAGGTAAGTACTTAAGGTATATAATATATTAGTGGGTAAGTGCAAAATGTAAGTGGGTATTCTTAAAATGTATAGTATATTGTATATACATAGAATATTTATATTTAAAATGTATAGTATGTTGGTGTGTGCTTGTGGGTGTATGTATGGGGTAGGTTTAACATTTAATTTTGGTGTTATATTTTTCTTTGAAGAATTCTTACGTACGGGGCCGAAAGACGGGTAATTTCGCATAATACCTCTTGTATTGTTTAATTGACTAATAATTTATTTAAAAATATTTTCTATTTTAAATTACGAAAAGTTTTTAATCTTAACTTCTTTGTTATTTGGATTTGGTTAATATAACCTGTAATTTTTAGCAGTCTGTGACCAAACGCGCGTTACTGTCAAGTATTATCTGTCAATGTCAAATTGTATAAACAAGCGTCTATGACGATTTTTGTTGTGTAAATTCGATCAAAATATACCAAAAAATATCGTTTAATTTACAAAAAAAGTCTCACAAAAATATTAATTAAGGTGTTAAGTGCATAATAACTTCAAGATGAGCTCCATACAGGAGCGTTTGCAGCTTAAACGCGTACCTTTAGATACCTGGAATGTAAGAGAACAGTTATGCCTTGCCTCCGCAGTGGTTAGAAGCGGAGATCAGAACTGGATGTCAGTTTCCCGCGCTCTAAAAACTATTGGCGAGCCAAACAGACCACCAGATTGGTATTCACAAAAGAGGTTGGTTTTTTATGATGTTTTTTTTTGTTTATATATTTTATAACCTATGTCTATTGTGGAATTATCTGTTTTTTTGTTGTGTACTGATTTTCTCAGGTAGTCTGTGGTTCATAAAGGTACATAAATGTTGGTAGTGTATTTGGAGTGTCTAATATCTGCTCTCAAAAGTGAAATTTTTCAATGATTTGTTCCATCTATTGTTACATTGTTCGAGGGACTTTTGATCTTGTGTTTATTCTTACAACTGCTTCGTATCAAGTCCTGGGTTCTGTCTTAGCGGTCTGGCTCGACCGGACTGATACCACGGCCTCACAGAAGACCCCCTCCTTTCCCCAATCCCTGAATCCCCAACAATCCTCAAATTCCAAATCCCAAAAAGCCGGTAACGCACTTGTAACGCCTCTGGTGTTTCAAGTGTCCATGGGCGACGCCGATTCCTTACCATCAGGTGATCCAACTGCACGTTTACTGGCTTATCCCATAAAAAAAAACAACTACTGTAAAGTTGAAATTGTGTATAATTGAATTTTAAATTCTAATAATAGACTTATTTGAGTATGACAACTCTTAATCATAACACATAGCATCACGCATATCTTATGAGATAGAGTCCCATTTAATAGTATTGGGGGTGAGCCTATTGCCATATACTGGGTACAATTCCATACTCCGTGCTACTACTGAGAATTAATAAAAAAATCCAGTAATTCTTCACCTGACCCGGGGATCGAAGTGAGAATTCTTGCCCAGCAGTCGCACTTGCAAACACTCTGCCAACGAGGCAGTCTCAGAAATGTTAATGAAAGTGGTAAAACGTAACAAGTTACATAATTAATAATTATATAGATCTGTTTGTGTTACTTATCTCCACTGATAGACTGTCTCATTTACCGAGTGGCAAGCAATAAGGAGTCGCTAGAAGAAAAATTATCATATAGCAGATAGTTAGTTTTTGATTTTTGGATAATTCTTATTATTACCACAAGACAGGTATATGGCAATAGATATGCTTTCCACTCATTAACTCTATATAACTATTAATCATGGTGGCCCAAAGGTTTAAGATACTTGCTTCTCATTTATGAGGTCGCTGTTTTGAAACCTACCAACGTCAAAGACCAATGTGACTTCTCCGAGTTATATGTACTCTCTAAGATTATTTAGACACCACTGACAAACGGTGAAGGAAAATATCGTAAAGAAACTTGGGCTTTATAATTTCCAATTATTTATAAATTCGAAATCGCCAACTCGCATTGAGCAAGCATGGTGATTAAGGCTCAAACCTTCTCCGTGTAAGTAGAGGCCACTTATAGGATACTAGCTTTTACCCGCGGCTTCGCTCGCGTCACAAAAGGATAAAAAGTAGCCTATGTAACATATATCAATACACACAGCGCCATCTATACTTATTCTTTTGTTTTCCCTCGGGAACATCAAATTTTTCCTGTATAAAAAGTACCCTATTATTTAATCCAGACTTCTAACTTTACATCTGCAAAAATTCAAAGCAATCGGTTTAGTAGTTACGGCGTGAAAGCGGAACAAACAAACAAACTTTCCGATTTATAATATTAGTAAGGATTGATGTGAACTATTATCACTAACCTTTAAGAAAATAGCGTATTCCTTTTTAAAAGGCCGGCAACGCACCTGTGACTCCTCCATGGGCGCCGCTGATCGCTTACCATCAGGTGATCCGTATGCTCGTTTGCCTCCTTTCCATAAAAAGAAAACTTATATCTACATTTCAGCTGTGCAGCCCAGTACGGAGCTCTTCTCGAACATGTGGAGACACCGAAACGGAAGAAGCGGAGCTCAGAAGGTGCGGTGGAAACTCCGCAGGAGAGCATCTGGAAGCGGTTGATGCAGGAACGCATTGCGGAGATACAGAAACAGTTAGTCGAGATGCAACAACAGTATGATCAGGGAAAGGTATGTGTGCCTTTAAGAAAATATTGTAATTGGGTACTTGCCTTCATCAAAAAAATTGGTTGCTTGTAAAGTCGGTATACGGGCGGAAGTTTTACGTGACAACGACTTTGAGTGGTGTGCCTTTCACTTTTTATGTCTGTCTCTCTCGCTCTTAGGCGGGCTAACCATGCCCGTGTGGAAGGGACGCGTGCCTCTCACTCGCTCTCATTGTGAGCGCATAACGTGAGCGGAGCGTAACGCAGTTTCTTGAAGTGTCACCCGGCAAACCAATATATAAGACTTTATCACGTCAAAATAAATTAAAACAACAAAATATTAAAACATAATCACACTTTCATTTATTGATTTTATCACCAACTTAATTTTAGTATTTTTCTAGCACTTTTTTTTTAAGAAATAAGTATGCTGTTTGACGCTATATAAACGTGACGTCACAATACACAATATCGTGCGATTCATAGGAAACTGTCCTTTTGACAGTTCGAAAAATTCAGCCTGTTCTTTTTGATTGGTGATCCACAGAATTTTGTTCCTAGTCTGTGTGTTATGTGTATGTGATATTGTAATAGTATGTTTGTAAACGTACACACGACACAGGAGTAAATCCTAGTGTGATCAACGTTTTTTCTATAATTATAATCGACTTCGAATTCACAGACAAATTCGACTGCACTGTTGGCGCGGTGGCTGGGCAACTGGCCGCCGCGCAACGTACGTGTCGCGGGTTCGATTCCCGCACGGAACAACTCTTTGTGTGATCCACAGATTGTTGTTCCGATGTCATGTGCATGTCATATTGTATGTTTGTAAACGCACCCACGACACAGGAGAAAATCATAGTGTGAGGCAACGTTTTTTCAAAAAAAAAGTCATATTATGATAACAAGTATTTCTACACAGAAACTACTGCTTACTAAATGCCAAATATAATTTTTACAGGACATCGTACTAGAATTACGGAACCCAGCCACTTCAGACGAAAGGGTAAAGGAGCTTTACGCCAATATGGAAGCAAGGAATAGAGCGAGAGAGCGAGAGCAAGCTAGACGGGCTGCCTGGTTGAAAGAAAGAGATGAAAAACGGGCCCGAGCCGACCGAGCGTGGAAACCTATGTTGACTAATAATACAACGCAGAGCCAGCCTACTGGTGAGTTATGTAAATGTGGAATCTATTGAGAATGCTCGAGAGTTTTTATTAAGAGCCCCGGTTTAGCTTGAAAGTCGTTGAGTATCCTCGAATAGTTTAAGTGAGTTACGTCCAGTTTCAATTAAGTGTTTATCTATAGATTTCGCTATAGAAATCGAATTTTTATATTTTTTGTGTAGAGCTTTATAGAAATTCTATCGCTATAAAATATTTTAACACGTTAAACGCCATGGGGATCACCGGTGACCGGCGTTAGCGGAGGATTTACCTTCAATAGTTTTTTATTGGCAGCCAGTCTTAAAAATAATATCTATAATATTGTATGTAGACATTTTGGTTTTCGTTTTTTCGAAACCATTCTTACAAAAAAAATACTTGTTTACGTGTGTATGTCTATGTATTACAGCGTCGTCCCCCGCCCCTCCTGCGTCCCCCCTGCTGACGTCACTGCTCAAGTCGTCCCCTGTCGTCACCACCCCGCAACATATCTCGCACCCCGCCAATTGTGTTGGTAAGTAAATTTAATAAGATTATATTTACTTGTAGAATGTGGTAGTAGCCCGGAGGTTTAAGACGCCCGCTTCTCATGCATGAGGGTGCCGGTTCGAAACCTATCAACGGCAAGTACCAATGTGACTTTTTCCGAGTTATATGTACTGTCTATGATTATTTAGACACCACTGACAAACGGTAAAGGAAAACATCGTGAGGAAACCTGTGCTTATAATTTCTAATTATAAGTTTGAAATCGCCAACCCGCATTGAGCAAGCGTGGTGGTTAATGGTCAAACCTTCTCCGTGCGAGAAGAGGCTATTATAGGCTGATGATGTTGATGTAAAGAAAAATATATTATTATTCGTCAAAATAGATTTTCTGTATTTTTTTACGTAATAGTTGAAAACATGTTCATGAGAGCCATGCTTCGGCACGAATGGGCCGGCTCGACCGGAGTGATACCACGGCCGAGCAGAAAACCGACGTGAAGCAACGCTTGCGTTGTGTTTCATCGTGTGAGTGAGGTTACCAAAGGCCCAATTACCCTCCCCTTCCCCAATCTCCCCAATCCTTGAATCCCCAACGATCCTCAAACTCCTAATCCCCAAAAAGCCGGTATCGCACTTGTAACGCCTCTGGTGTTCCAGGTGTCCATGGGCGACGCCGATTGCTTACCATCAGGTGATCCGTCTGCTCGTTTAACGGCTTATGCCATAAAAAAAACATGTGTCACAGGCAAAAGGCCTTTAATTAAAGAATGTCTAATTAACAACTAAGGAGTTGGCATCAGCATCAGCCTTCCATCCGCCTCACACTATTCGAGTAAGCTCGACGAGTTTCGAGCTGCACTGGGAACTATAAACTTTACTACACCACTTCATCCGTCCTGACGATGACGTCACTGTCTATAATGTATTTTCCCCATATGCACCTCACACTATTCGAGTACGCTCAACGAGTTTCGAGCCACACCGGGAACCACAAACTTAACGACACCACGTCATCACTTTATTATTTTTATTATATATATATATATTTTGTTTTTAGTTTTGGTTATTAATCTAATTATATTTTGTTATGCTTTAATGATATTTTTTTTCATTTCTTTTCTCTTTTATTAAAATCTATTATTAATGTTTTGTTTTTATTTTGACTGTATTTGTTTTATTTCTATGGGGATGATGACAGGGTATGAAATTTAAAAATATAATTAGTCCGTAAGTTAGGTAATGAAAAAATATTAGACACGTATTTTTTTATTTTGTCGTATAATAAAACAATACTTATAGTCCATCTGTTTAGGTAATTAACTAAAGGTAAACAAAGAAAACCACGTGACACAGAGATACTTAACCTACTATTACTTCAAATATTTCTCGTGTTTTAATTTTAACCAAATTCACTTTAAACTCGTTCATTTGTCATACACACAACACAACTACAAATGCCTAAATCGTACAAGAGCCTTGCCATTGGTTTTATTTCATTATCATGTTTAAATAGAAACTATTCTCAATCTGATGTACGGATTTCTTTCTTGTACGGATATGTGTCTTTGGGCCAAGTTTCTTCAATATATTTGAACACATTAATTACAAACGATGAATAACCTAAAGTTGAATAACTTAATAACGAAAACAAAACAAAGAAACAAGATAAATTCAACAAAATAGGAACGCGAGCGCAAACGACGAGAGAGCTGTCAATGGCGCCTGATTAACCGACTAAACGTAATACACGCTTCTTTCATTGTCGCGCTACATCTTAGTTGTACTCTTTAATTTGACAACATTATTTTGCTTCGTTCTTAAAGAAAAGTTTTGGATACCTGGGATTTTAGGCTCTTTATGGTGTCTATTGTAATGAAATATTATATTATTTAATAAATGTTATTAAATTAATATCTTCAAGCAGATATATATAATATTTACTAAGAAATAAGTGAAAAGGAACAGAAACATAACATTTAATAGAGAAAACTGTCGTAAAAACGGAAACAATTTTATTTTCTTATGAAGTATTTTGAATCATGGAAATGTCAACTATAAAGAACTCTTTTTATGGTTTGTTTACAAATAGTTAACTACCTAAACAGACGGAGTATAGATAAAACGAATCAAAGTTTAGGAGTGGGGGCTAAAACGTCATTACTTAGTATAAAATGTACTGAGAAGTGACGTCACGCGACATTTCAAATCAATATATCTTCGAAACTATTCGTTTCTGTGAGAAAATAAAAAATACGTGTCTAATGTTTTTAAATAATCTACCAGACGGACATTAAAATAAAAATTAGTCGTCTACCCCATAGTAATGATCCTTGTTTTCGTGTGCCAATGGCCAAATAAATGCATTTTCTTTCTTTCTTTCATCCGTAATCATTGTCTATAATGTATTTTTTATACTTGACCATCTCTTTCTCAATCTCCAACAGAGACGGTATCCCCTTCAGTGACAGCTCCGACACTCTCAATGTTGCTGGAGAAGTCAGCGTCAGGTACGAGCCAACATGAGAGCAAGCATGCCGCCATAGAACATATCAAGAATCAACTCGTACAGATTGAACAACAACTTAAAGGTACGTCTTTATACAACACTAGCTTTTACCCGCGGCTTCGCTCGCGTCACAAAAGAACAAAAAGTAGCCTATGTGACATATACCAATACGCACAGCGCCATCTATACCAATACTTTTGTTTTCCCTCGGGAATATCAATTTTTCCGGGATAAAAAGTACCCTATTATTTAATCCGGACTTCTAACTTTACGTCTGCAAAAATTCAAAGCAATCGGTTTAGTAGTTACGGCGTGAAGGTGGAACAAACAAACATACAAATATACTCACTTTCCGATTTATAATATTATATATTATTAGTAAGGATGTAACTTAAAAAGTTTGTTCTCCTGAAAAAAGTTTGTTCAGAATCGTTAACTGAATTGATTTATATAATTTTGGGGGTGAGCCTATTGCTATATACCGGGCACAATTCCGGACTCAGTGCTACTACTGAGATTTTGACGTGACAACGTCTTATAAATTGGTTTGCCGGGTGACACTTCAAGAAACTGCGTTACGCTCCGCTCACGTTATGCGCTCACAATGAGAGCGAGTGAGAGGCACGCGTCCCTTCCACTCGGGCATGGTTAGCCCGCCTAAGAGCGAGAGAGACAGAGCGAGAGAGAGAGAGTGAGAGAAAAGTTTTAAATATAATTCTTTGTATAAATAAATGTTTTAAATTGTTACTATTATTTCATCCTTCTTCCTACTATACGAATGAATATTCACATTAAAATTATTTTACCACTCAAAGTCGTTGTCACGTAAAACTTTCGCCCGTATACCGACTTTACAGGCAACCAATTTTTTTTTTATAAAACCCAGTAATACTTTGCCCGACCCGGTAATCGAACCCGAGACCCGGCAGTCGTACTTGCGACCACTCAGCCGACGAGACACACACACACTTAACTTTAATATGAATATATTTTTACAGCGAACACACCACCAGTGCTGTCAACGAGCGCCCAGCCGTCTCAAGCGCCGCCATTAGACCTGGACGATATAGAAATAAAGGCCGAAGATGTCTATGCATTCAGGGACATAGACATACATATACCGCCCGTCACCGCCATGCATAAGCCAGGGAACAGGTACGTTTTTTTATAGCATTTTTTTAAAGGGGGATCATCGAATGACTGCTCCCGCCTGGGTGAGGCGGGAGGGAGTGTCAGACTCTTACTGACTAAAAACTACCCCGTTCCTTCTCCTGCACGAAAAGCCTTGCGGTTTTCTACCGGATACATTTTTGCGGGGAATTGCACAATTTGATTCCCCCTAGTCCTTTCCATCATCGTACCACAAGACACTCGACAAAGCGTCACCGACTCATGGTAGATGCCCCATCCAGACGCACGAAGCCAGTTGTACAGTCTCTTCTTTGTGCCTGTAGGCTTAATTCACTCTGTCTCCTGCAGTAATTCACCGAGGGAAGTGGAGTGGAGTTCTTCTTCTCCTCTTATAATATCTTCTGATTCACTTCGTTGCGGGAACCAAGACAGTTACTCATGCCCCTGGGACGTTGGACTTCAGTGTTCCGGTGTTTTCATGGTTGTATCTACTGTAGATCCTGGTGCACAGGAGTTGCAGCGGTTTTGGGAGGTAGTGGCGGGCTTGTCCCACAAAAAAAACACACATGCGAGAGGAGTAGATGGTGATAATTGTGGTAATTTATAATAATGAGCCTCTTAATATCAGTTCCAGACCACCAGACAAGCCAGCAGGTACGGCTAGCAAGGACGAGGAGCAGGTTCAATCCCCGGCTGTGGCAGGTGACGGACCCGTCATTGTGGACGAACAAGTCATCAAGGTACGTACATACATACCTATTACATCTTTTTATGTGTATAAAAAATTAAAGACTAAGAGCACGCGGCTCCCAGATCTTCCCCATTTTATAATATTACTAGCGGACCCGACAGACGTTGTCCTGCATATCCACTTGAATGTATAAACAAAAATTTTTACCCTACACCCAAAATAAAGAATTTTTACCCTAACCTAAACATCGACTGCAGCGCCATCTGCCGGGCTGATTTGTGAATCTAAACCATTCCCAGATCCCCTTGAACACACACAAAAAATTCGCATCAAAATCCGTTGTGTAGTTTTAAAGATCTAAGCATACATAGGGACAGACAGACGGCGGATAGCGACTTTGTTTTATACTATGTCGTGATGATAAGTCAACGCGTATATTATATTACAGGTGGAACCTGAACAGATGTCAGCTGAACCAATTGAGGAGGAGGTTCTACAGGACGACATTGAAAGCGTGAGTAACAAATACATACAATAGGGTAGTTCCCTAAATTTTATTTTAATGTCCGTCTGGTACACTAATTTAAAACTTTAGACACGTATTTTTTCTTTTCTCACAAAATTAAATACTTCCGACGGTATGTTAATTTGAAATATCGTGTCACGTCACAGCGTTTTTTTTTATGGTGTAAGCCGGTAAACGAGCCGATGGATCACCTGATGGTAAGCATTCGGCGTCGCCCATGGACACCTGAAACACCATAGGCGTTAACAGGCGTTATCGGCCTTTTGAGATTAGGAATATGAGGATTGTTGAGGATTCAGGGATTGGGGAAAGGGGGAGGGGGTGTAATTGGGTCTTATTTTGTAACACGTTATGACGTAACAACCTCCCACTCCTAAACTTAGCGCCATTTTATCTAAGTATTGCAACTTAATACGAGAAAAAAGAATACGTGTCTAATATTTTTTCATTATCTAACTGACGGACTAATTAGATTTTTAATTTTGATACCCTGGAAACTACGCATTTTTTATGGTATAAGCCGGTAAACGAGCAGACGGATCACCTGCCGGCTACCGTTCTTTTTGGGAATAGGAATTTGAGGATTGTTAGGGATTGGGGAGATTGGTGAGGTGATTTGCCCCCACTGCCCTCGCTGACTCGCCTCGACTCGAGGTCAGGAAAGGTATTATTGGGTTTTAAAAAAAATCTCAGTAGTAGCACGGACTCTGGAATTGTAGCCGGTATATAGCAATAGGCTCACCCCCTATTGCATGGGACTCATAACATAAATAGTGAAAATGGCGATTTCAAACTTATAGTTAGAAATTATAAGTCCAGGTTTCCTCACGATGTTTTCCTTCACAGTTTGTCAGTGGTGTCTAAATAATCTTAGAAAGTACATATAACTGGGAAGTCACATTGGTATTTGCCGTTGGTAGGTTTCAAACCCGAACTCTCGTGCATGATCCTACATATTCTTACACATGATTAAACCTGAAAAATTTGTTTTACTGATACAAAAAAAAAATGCTTTACCAAGCTATCGAACCCGACAGTGACAGTGCTATGTTTTTTATTACAGGAACCTATACATCCTCCAGTACAACCGGCGCGGATAACAAAGGAGAATACACCGGAAGTGGAAGTGAAAATAGCGTTCCCCGAGGTGAAGTTCCCGACCACTGAAATAAAAGTTATACACCCTGAAGATCAGAAGGTACGATGCATACTTTGCTACCTACTTCAATAGTACTTTTTTTACAGTCCCACACTAGGATTATCTCCTGTCGCGGAGAACCTAACGGGTAACCGGGGCTTCGGCTCGCCGTGCAGGAGAAGGAACGGGGTGGTTTTTAGTCAGTAAGAGTCTGACACTCCCTCCCGCCTCACACAGGCGGGAGCAGTCATTCGATGATTTTCTCCCCTTAAAAAAAAAGTTCACATACACATAACACCCAGACCCGGAACAACAATCTGTGGATCACACAAAGAGTTGTTCCGTGCGGGAATCGAATACGCGACACGTTGCGCGGCAGCCACTTGCCCAGCCACCGCGCCAACTGTGTAGTCAACGTCTAACTTTAATTCCCATTTGTCAGACGTACTCGTTTCACCACCTGCTTTTCCATTTTCGGGAACTTCTAAGCTGTAGGTGATACTTACCGTAAGCACGGACGGCGAGCGTGGGTAGTTCGCCGCCTGACCAGAACCAGACCTGAGCGTACGGCACCGAGGGCCCGCGCGCGCCTTAAAGAGCCATCAGACCACCACAGATGGGGCCTAATAGGGCCGATGCCGATACGGAGCCGCGGAAGGCTTAACGGGTTGACGGGGCTCCGGCTCAAAGTGCAGGAGTAGGAACGGGGTGGTTTTTAGTCAGTAAGAGTCTGACACTCCCTCCCAAGGCGGCTCCCTTGGCACCCAAGGCGGGAGAAGACATTCGACAGTTAATTAAAAAAACGTTGTACCTACTTAAATTCCCATTTGTCTGATGTACTCGTTGCACCAACGGCTCTTAAATTTTTGGGAATACCTAAGCTATAGGTTATACTTATGGTTGGTTTAAACCAATCTGTAAGTGGCACCTAAACTTAAGAGGTTAGTTTTGGTGGTTGCGTAATGCGTTGATAAGTAACTCTTGGTTAAGTTAAGATGGTTTGGGGGGGGGGGGGACAAGAATAAGCGAGCAAAGCATTACTCATTACATTAATTGTGCCGGGTATATAGCAATAGACTCACCCCCTATTACATGGGACTCATAACATAAATAGTGAAAAGTGGGTGTTACATTGTACAGTGGCATTAAGTACCGTAATGTGCACTTTAGAGAACAGAGAGTATAGTTCCCTAAGATCGGAAAAGGAGGATCCTCCGACCAGGCGAGGTGATCGTGCCTGGCGGGCTTTCTGCCCAACAGTTGTTCGTTGGGATTTTCTATCCGTGTTTATTCGCTTGTAAACTTTGCATGTGCGATGTAGGATTCTTGTGACGTCATCCGTTGACGTGTACCATGTGTCGCCACAGCACCACTGCCTACTCCTTCGGAGATAAAAGGCGTGATGTTGCTATGTTATATTGTACATACGAAAGTTTCAAATGTTTCAAATATTTACCAACATTTTTCTGTGTACGAACAGATCAAAGAAGAAGTGAAAGAACCGGAGACTACCGCAGAAGCGTCGCCAGAAGTAGAGACGGTGGAAGAAGAGGTTGTCACAGTAGACGATACACCACAAATTGTTGAAGAAGAAAGGTAAGTTAAATAAAATAAAATAAAAATAGCCTTTACCACAAAATGCCAAGTATTCAAATCAATATTATTGTTTAATTCAAATTTTTACCTTACATTTCGATTAAATAACTCAAATTAGCTAAATAAAATAAATTAAATCGACTGCACGGTTGGCGCGGTGGCTGGGCAACTGGCTGGCACGCAACGTGCCGCGGGTTCGATTCCCGCACGGAACAACTCTTTGTGTGATCCACAAATTGTTGTTTCGGGTCTGGGTGTCATTGTGTATGTGAAATTGTATGTTTGTAAACGCACCCACGACACAGGAGAAAATCCTAGTGTGGGGCAACGTTTTATTAATAAAAGAATAAAGAATAAAAAGAAAAGAATTAAATTACATAATTTCCCAGTAAAGTTACTAATTGGTTTGTGGAAGTCGCCTCAGTGGCGTAGGCCTCCCCCAGTTGTCTCCATTTAACTCTGTCTCTTGCTTCTCTTATCCATGTGATCCCACAAATCTCAACAAAAATATCTTCCCATCTTCTTTTTGGTCTACCTTTATTTCTTTTGCCATCCCATGGCATCCAATCTATAATCTTTCTGGCCCATCTATTGCATGGCATTCTACACACATGTCCTGCCCATTTCTATTTAAGATTCCTTATTTTGTTGTATATTCCAAAGGTAAGTTAGTTATTTGTCTATTTAAGTGTGTTCGCCATGCTTCGGCACTGCAGTGTCGGCTCGACTGGAGTGATACCAACGAGCTGACTCCATACTGACACATAGCGCTGTAGGCAGTCGTGGGAGTGAGGTTACCGAAGGCCCAATTAATATTAAGTCGTTAACCCCACGAGCGTCCTTATGAGCACCCGGTGGATCATAAGAAAAAATGCTCCATGCTGCTTTCTCTTTTATAAAATCTATTATTAATGTTTTGTTTTTATTTTGACTGTATTTGTTTTGTTTCTATTGTAATGATCCTTGTTTTCGTGTGCCAATGGCCAAATAAATGCATTTTCTTGCATGCATAAGTCGTTAATCCGGAGTAAACGAAAATAAGAAGACCTACTTTGTGTTTAAAAAAAGAATTTAAATATGTTTTTATGCAGTTGTATACAGATAACCTAGTATACCAAATACAGGTTAAACTGTCAAACACCGCGAGGACACCGGTGACCGCAACCTATTGTTCTTTAATTGTGTGTATAATGACGGTACTCAAAGAGTTAAAGGAAATAATTATTGATTCAGTACAAAGACAGTAGCTATTATTATACTAAATGGGGATGATGACAGGGTATGAAGATTAAAAATACAATTAGTCCGTAAGTTAGGTAATTAAAAAATATTTAGCACGTATTTTTTTATTTTGTCGTGTTATAAAACAGTACTTAGATAAAACGAATCAAAGTTTAGGAGTGGGGGCTAACTCGTCATTTCTTAGTATGTACTGAGAAGTGACGTCACGCGACATTTCAAATCAATATATCTTCGAAACTATTCGTTTCCGTAAGAAAATAAAAAATACGTGTCTAATGATTTAAAATAATCTAGCAGACGGACATTAAAATAAAAATTAGTCGTCTACCCTGTTGTATGCATTGTAACTCAGTCGGCTCTAGACAACCAATGGCTACTGTCTCTGTACCGAATCTATCTATATTTATTACCTACATACTAAATTACTTGATTTTCTATACATACGTATTATACCATCTTCTTTCACAGCATAATACAAGAAGACCCGACACCTCCGCCAGCAGAAGAAGAGAAGACTTCTGAGTCTCCTGTGGAACTAGAACAGACCACAGAAGAGACAGTTGTAGAGGAACCTACAGTCGAGATTCCACCGGAGACTATACCATTGCCACCAGAGCCTGAAGTGGAGGAGGCGGCGGAAACTGAGGCTCAAGTTGTTGAAGGTACTTTATATAATACTACCTTTTACCCATTCTCATTTAAACTTATTGATTCACCATGGTGCCAATGTTCGACAGTGGAGTTGCAATACGAGCAGTCGGCCCATAACATACTCTGGGAGTGTGATCTCTGGCAATATGAACGTAACACTATGTTGAATAATTTAATTGTTTCGTCAGGTGTAGTTTATTATACGGACCTTGTGGAATCTAGAACAAATTTCCGTGCGTTTAGGCGCTTTTGCCATACCATATTGGAAGCAAGTATAACAGCTCACACATAGGACCCACTTAGTTTTTTAGTCAAATTTCCGTGGTGCTTGGCGACTGGGCTTCACCCAGTTGTACAGTCTCTCCTTTGTGCCTTTAGGCTTAATTCATTCTGTCTCCTGCAGTAATTCACCGAGGGAAGTGTAAACTATAGTTTTTACTTCTTCTTCTCTTATAATATCTTCTGATTCACTTCGTTGCGGGAACCAAGACAGTTACTCATGTCCCTGGGACGCGCCGGACTTCAGTGTTCCGGTGTTTTCATGGTTGTATCTACTGTAGATCCTGGTGCACAGGAGTTGCAGCGGTTTTGGGAGGTTGTGGCGGGCTTGTCCCATAAATAAAAAATAGCTTTTACCCGCGGCTTCGCTCGCGTCACAAAAGGATAAAAAGTAGCCTATGTGACTATCCATCCGTTCAACTACATTCAGTTAAAAAATCACGTTAATTAGTACCTCCGTTCTGCCGTTTAAGACAGGCAAACAAACAAATAGCTATCCGCTCGCGTGGAATTCGGTTATATCGCGTTATTTAGATTTTTCCAATAAGTAGGTAATTCGTTGACTGGTTTTAAATGACATACAACGCCATCTATACCAGTACATACAGCGCCATCTATACCAATATTTTTGTTTTTCCTAGGAAATATCAATATTCCGGGATAAAAAGTACCCTATTATTTAATCCGGACTTCTAACTTTACGTCTGCAAAAAATCAAAGCAATCGGTTCAGTAGTTACGGCGTGAAAGCGGAACAAACAAACAAACAAACAAACAAACAAACTCACTTTCCGATTTATAATATTAGTAGTATTGTAAATTTCGTGAGACATAGTAAATAAATTATTATGTTTTCGGCTTACTTACGTAATAATTTGACGAGGAACTCGACTAGTTTCAAGCCATGCTAGAGGCTCATATTCATGAGCAGCATTTCGCGACCCGCGACGCGGCGACTGTCGCGTTCCTCGTCAAATTATTACGTAAGTAAGCCGAAAACATAATAATTTATTTACTATGTCTCACGAAATTTACAATACAAAAATACTTGCTTCGGTTAGCGGTTTCGCCCACGTTCCTGTCGAATAAAAAGTAGCCTATGTGTTATTGCAGACATAGCATAGCATAGTCTACTCCTTTTTTTTTTTTTTTTTTTTTTTTTTTTAAACCCCAAGGTGGGAAATCCTCATGGAGCCCCCTCGCCTGGGGAGGACGAAAGGGACTGTCAGACTCTTACTGACTAAAACCCACCCCGGTGTCCCGTCTCACACGTGGGTACGAGGGTGCGGGAGTCACATTCATCCGCAGCCCCCGAACTCGTGGCGGCCTGCCTTGCCAGGCCCCACCTCAAGATGCACGGAGAAGTGAGGTGTTGGTCTTCTCCGTGCAACGTCTCGGAGGCGCGCGTGGACACAACGCGCGCCACCGTCTCGGGTCCTTTACAACGGGATGACGGGGACTTCCCCAAGTCCACCGTCCCCGGACCCATTTAGGGGGGTCGAAAGAGAGTAATTTCTGCTCTCCTTCGACGCCCGGTGCGCCTACTGCGGGAAGGTAGAGACATTGCAATTTCCCTTTCCCTCTCCGCAGCCTCCTTCCGCGACATTACATCTTCGCAGAAGGACACCACTGCATCCCACGACTCTGCACTGCCGACCATTTTTTGGACAACAGTCGACAATGACAGATCGTCACCGATCTCTAATATGAGGGCACGACGCGGCTCATCCCAAGCCACGCACTCCATAAGGGTGTGCTGCGCCGTATCCTCCTCACAATGGACGCAGTGATGGCACCGAGCGTTTGGCTCCATGCCTATGCGACACAGGAACTTTCCGAAACACCCATGCCCCGAAAGCACCTGCGTCACTCGGAACGACAGGGTGCCATGCTTTCTCCCGAGCCAGTCGTCGAGTACTGGCCGGACCACCTCGATGAAGTTGAGTCCAGCGATAGGGCGTTGAAGCCTCTCCCGCCATTCAGCATAGTCTACTCCTGTTCCAAATATCATAGCAATCCATTCAGCCGTTATGATGTGATTTGTTTTATGGTATAAGCCACGAGCAGACGGATCACCTGATGGTAAGCAATCGGCGTCGCCCATGGACATGAACACCAGAGGCGTTACAAGTGCGTTACCGGCCTTTTGGGGATTAGGAGTTTGAGGATCGATGGGGATTCGAGTCTAAGCATACATAGGGACAAACAGCAGAGAACGACTTCGTTTTACACAGAATGTAGCTGATATAACCTCCCACGTGGGTGAGGCGAGAGAGAGTGTCAGACTCTTACTGACTAAAAACCACCCCGTTCCTTCTCCTGCACGTCGAGCCGGAGCCCCGGTTACCCGTTAGGCCTTCCGCGGCTCCGTATCGGCATCAACCCTACTGGGCCCCATCTGTGGTGGTCTGATGTAACCTACTGTATTGTAACCTTTTAAATACGGGCAACGCCGATGGCTTACCATCAGGTGATCCGTCTGCTCGTTTACCGGCTTAATCTATAAATAATCTGTTTGTTTCCCAGAGCCCCCTCCACCCCCGCCAGAAGAGCCACAGATCCCGTCGCTCCCCGAGCCGATACACGCGGACAATATAGAAAGAGAGTTGGAGATGATGGAGAACGGAGAAGAAGTAGTAAGAGAACAACAGAAGACCACAGAAGATGTTAAGAAAGATGAAGAGTCTGAGGTATGTTTCGCTGTAATTTTGTGATTGGTTTAGTTATTTTGTTGATTTTTCCTGGTTATATTTAAGAATACGCAATCACTTAAAAGGTTTTAAAATAAAAATAATGAGGTAACTATTTCAATAGACTACATTTTTAAATAGCTATTTAAAAAAAAGAAACATAAAATAAATAAAAATTTTATTCATAATAAAACTGATCAACATACCAAAGTCAAAGCATTTATTTCAAATAAACCATAGTTTAGTACTTTTGAAACGTCAACAAATACAAAATAAATAATAGTCTGTCAGTCAGTCCGTCAGTGAAACTAGGTGAAACTAGGTGCTCATTCCAAAAAGTAGATTCAAATGGAGAAGAACGAGCAAGAAACTCCATTCGTTCCTCTTTTTAAAAAAGTATGTTCTACAATGTCTCTGATACATATTTCAATACACTAATAACTTACTAAAATTAAAAAAAAAAAAATCTTAAAGTCCAACATGGTGCTCACATATGCATACTGACAATCCATAGAAGTAGTGCTTCTATACAAGAAAAGGAAACTCTTTGTTTCAATAAAGAAATGCTCGATGCCATAAGGAAACAATACGTACGTACATTAATATCTTAATTAAGCGACAAGATTTTAAAAATAATATCCCTATAGGAATATTCCTGTGTCACAGGCTAAGGCGGCATAAATAATCTTTTTATACCATTTTCTCTCTCCAGGATTCAATCCCCTTAAAAGAGATGATAAAAGAAGAGTCTCTCCCGGTAGCTCAAGAAGCAGAAGTGAAAGAAGAACGGGAGAAGACTGACGTAGAGGACACACATACTGAAACTGATGACGATACGCCTATGGAGGTAATTAAAAAAATACAATAGTATACAAGGTGTTGTTTTAAAGCCGCGTCATTTTCTAGGAGGTAACTCGGCTATCGATTCTGAGTCCGAATCAATAAAAAAATTGTAGGTAAATTTCACTTTTCTGAAATTACGGAAATCCGTAAGTGCGAACTACACGCCGCCGTCTTGTAACTACCTTTATAACTCGGCTTAACTCACACAAACTCAAACACGTAATTGATATTATTCCTAATTCCATTAAACTCCAATAAGAAACATTGCTGTCGCGTTCTGAAATACTGTCGAACTTAAACGATTTATTATAGCCGTATTTTTAACTATTGGCCCGAAATTTTCTCTTACATTGAACCTTTATGACTTTTGTGACATGCCCCCGAAAAATGTCACGGCTTCAAAACTACACTTTGTATAATAATACAATACAATACGGTATGATATACAAATACAATGTGAATACAATATAGTGTCTTGGAAATACAAACATGTTTTGTGTGGAATACAGTACAATATGGCAGTGCAGGATTATAATCCTGTATGATATGATATAGTGACGTGCGAATACAATACAAAAAAGCGTAATACATAAGAAAATAATACATAGTAAATACAATACACTTTAAATAATGCATAGAAAATACAGTACAATTTTCTAATTTGTCACGCGATATTTCAAATCAATGTATCGTCGAAAGTATTTGTTTCCGTAAGAAAATAAAAAATACGTGTCTAATGATTTAAAGTAATCTACCAGACGGACATTTTTTTTTAACGTTGCCCCACACTAGGATTATCTCCTGTGTCGTGAGTGCGTTTACAAACATACAAGTTCACATACACATGACACCCAGACCCGAAACAACAATTTGTGGATCACACAAAGTGTTGTTCCGTGCGGGAATCGAACCCGCGACACGTTGCACGGCAGCCGGTTGCCCAGCCACCGCACTAATCGTGCCAGTCATAACACATTAAAATATAAATTAGTCATATACATTATTATTTATTCGATCCGATCTTAGACCTTGTCGAACGAAATTGAACAAATAAGTGATTTGAAATCAGTCCGTCTTCTTCCAGTTGAGCAGAGAAGAAGAGAAGGACGGCAAGAAGAAGAGGGATTACTCGCGCAAGAAGAAATCGGATTCTAGAAGTAAGTTATAGTTTATTTATTTAAACTGTCAAACACCGCGAGGACACCGGTGACCGCAACCTATTGTTCTTTAATTGTGTCTATAATGACGGTACTCAAAGGGTTAAAGGAAATAATTCGACGTGGTGGCTCAGAGGTTAAGACGCCCGCTTCTCATGCATGAGGGTGCGGGTTCGAAACCTGCCAACGGCAAGTACCAATGTGACTTTTCCGAGTTATATGTACTTTCTAAGATTATTTAGACACCACTGACAAACGGTGAAGGAAAACATCGTGAGGAAACCTGGACTTATAATTTATAATTTGAAATCTCCAACCCGACTACTTTACTTACTTTGCCCGACCCGGGAATCGAACCCGAAACCCCTTGCCCGGCAGTCGCACTTGTAGTCATCAATGTTTGTTTGTTTCAGCTTGTTCCGGGTCAGAGAGCGCGGCGGAGGCGAGCGGGGCGGAGTCCCCGGGGGGCTGCGATGTCGACAGACAACATAGACTGTGGAAGAAGTCTGTTATGTTGGTCTACAGCAGGTTAGTCTCAAAATATAGTATCGATCAGTGGCGCCTGGTGGGTTATCGAACTAGTAGTGCACTTTACTAAAATATTAAAATTAAAAAATGCAACAAAACAAAAATTGACATAAATATGTTTATTATTTATATCTACATTAAGTCAATGCGACGACATTTTTCTGAAGCGAAATGTTTAATCACAATAAGAGACATTATACTGATATTCTGATAACGAGATGTCAACCATGGCTGCCTCACGCCCAAGCCGGCCGGCCAATTCGTCAAACATCGGGTGCTCTCAGCAACCCTCGGTTCACTCGTGCGCGCTCGACAAGCGACTCATTACTCGGAACATTTCCATGAACTATCTTTTGTCTCACGCGCCAGGCGTATTCACTCGTATCTCATACAAGTTACATTACAAGCAGACCTCGTGCACTCGCCCCAACATTTAGGGGGATGAAACATAGATGTTGGCCGATTCTTATAGATACCGGATAAGCACAAAAAATTTCATCAAAATCGGTCAAGCCGTTTCGGAGGAGTATGGCAACGAAAACTGACACCAGAGGCCCGAGTGAATAGGTTGCTTATGGGACGACGTGCTCCATCGTAGACCGCGTCATCGTGCACCACCAGGCGAGATAGTGGGCAAAGAACTCGTACACAAAACTGCGATGCGAATTCGCAACGCAAAAAATTACGATGCGAATTGCTGCGATGCGATTTCGTGCGACAAGGCGTCTCCCAGGGGACCATTCCTTCGACGACCGTCAACCGTACTAAACGTATTTTAAATTGAAAACTAGGTCGTGACATGGATCGTAAAAAGGAGTGTGCACTTCTGTTATTACTTAGGAGATACAGGAAAAAGAAACAAAGAAGGTTTTGGGAAGATAAGATGTTGATGCGCGATGCGAATCAATTCGCAAGTTCTTGCGATGCGTAGAGGGAGGGAGCGCATTTTGCAATGCGACGTCGCATCGCAGTGTTGTGTACGAGGACAAACGTCGGCACATCGAATATAAAAAAAATTGAAGTGGTTTAATAACATAACACATAACATCACGCCTTTTATCCCCGAAGGGGTAGGCAGAGGTGCACCTCTGCACATATGCCACTGTACAATGTAACACCCACTTTTCACTATTTATGTTATGAGTCCCAAGTAATATGGGGTGAGCCTATTGCCATATACCGGGCACAATTCCAGACTCCGTGCTACTACTGAGATTTTTTTAAAACCGAGTAATGCTTTGCCCGCTTATTCTTGTTTCTTCCCCCCCCCCCCTAAACCATCTCTTAACTAAGAGTTACTTATCAACGCAGTACGAAACCACCAAAACTAACCTCTTAAATTTAGGTGCCACTTACAGGTTGGTGGAAACCAACCATAAGTATAACCTATAGCTTAGGGGTTCCCAAAAATTTAAGACTAGTTGGTGCAACGAGTACATCAGACAAATGGGAATTTAAGTACAAGTTTTTTTATTCGAGGGGCGACAACCTTCGACTGACTTCTCCCGCCTGGGTGAGGCGGGAGGGAGTGTCAGACTCTTACTGACTAAAAACCACCCCGTTCCTTCTCCTGCACTTCGAGCCGGAGCCCCGGTTACCAGTTAAGTCCTCCGCGGCTCCGTATCGGCATCAGCCCTATTGGGCCCCATCCGTGGTGGTCTGATGGCTCTTAAAGGCGCGTGCTACACGCTCGGCGCCGTACGCTCGGGTCTGGTTCTGGTCGAACGGCGAACTACCTACTAACTTTGCCCGACCCGGGAATCGAACCCGAGACCCCCTTGCCCGGCGCAGTCGCACTTGCGACTACTCGGCCAACGCGGCAGTGGTTTAAACTGTCAAACACCGCGAGGATACCGGTGACCGCAACCTATTGTTCTTTAATCTATATATATAAAAGAAAGTCGTGTTAGTTACACCACTTATAACTCAAGAGAGGCAGAATAGATTTGGCTAAATATTGGTAGGGAGGTAGCTTAGAGCCAGGAGACCGACATAGGATACTTTTTGACCAACATTTTTTTTACTTTTTACCGAAAATCACGAACGGGGACGGGAAAAAATGGGATTACGCGTACGAAGTCGCAGGCAGAAGCTAGTTGTGTCTATAATGACGGTACTCAAAGGGTTAATAATAATCATATTAATCAATATGTTTCAGACTATGTACACATAAGTACGCGTCGCTATTCCTCCGCCCTATCACCGACGAGGAGGCGCCAGGATACAGCATGGTGGTGAAACGACCCATGGACCTTAATACCATCAGGAAAAATATCGATTCGGGCGTTATAAGGTACTAACATAACATAACATCATTCTTTTATAGCCTTCTTTCCCCGAAGCGGTAGGCTGAGGTGCACATTACAGCACTTAATGTCACTGTACAATGTAACACCCACTTTTCACCTGAACATAACATCACGCCTTTTCCCCCGAAGGGATAGGCAAAGGTGCGCTTAATGCCACTGTACAATGTAACACCCACTTTTCACTATGTATGTTATGAGTCCCATGTAATAGGGGGTGAGCCTATTGCTATATACCGGGCACAATTCCAAACTCCGTGCTAAATTACTGAGAATAAAAAAAACTGTATTGAACAGTGGAAATAATTTATTTTTGATTAAGGATAGTATCTAATTGGGGAGATTGGTTACCTGACTCAGACGACGAAATCTTGACCTTGACCTTTGATCGCCGACCTTTCACTTCTGATCTTTGACCATCAACACTTGACCTTTGATCTTGATATTTCAGGACCACAGCGCAGTTTCAGCGTGACGTGCTACTGATGTTATCTAACGCGCTCATGTACAACAGTAGTGAACATAGCGTCTACTCCATGGCGAAGGATATGCATGCTGAGGTATATATACACTTATATTTCTGCTTACCCCCCTTTCATGAGGTATACGAGGCTGTAATGAAAGAATTTAACTCCTATTTTGAACAGATTTAGTCTTTTATCTATGAAAATACCATTTTTAGCGGCATTTATAGTAGACTAACTAAATTGGGTTACTCACGTGAATATACTGAGAAAAGCTCTACTAATGTCGAGCCATAGACCCCCTCTATACGTCGCGGAGAATCGTAACGGGTAACCGGGGCTCCGACTCGACGTGCAGGAGAAGGAACGGGGTGGTTTTTAGTCAGTAAGAGTCTACACTCCCTCCCGCCTCACCCAGGCGGGGGAGCAGTCATTCGATGATTTTCCCCCCTTAAAAAAAGGGCTGTCTATACTTTTCTTCCTCATGAGTAGCGTGCGCGGTCGCGGCGATGTCGCGCAGTCTACTGAATAGTTATTATAAAAAAAGCCATTTATACTGAAACTAGTTTATGCTCGCGACTTCGCCCGCGTTTCCGTGTTGTGCTATTTCAAACTATAATCTACCCTTGTTCCAAATTTCATCTGTATCCCTTCAGCCGTATTTTTTTTCCTTTTATTATTGTTATTTGTTATTACATTGGGTGATCGTGGTTGGGGACTCCTTTTAAGCAAGATGTGCCTGTGTTTTGACTATTTTATTTTTTTAACGTTGTCCCACACTAGGATTTTCTCCTGTGTCGTGGGTGCGTTTACAAACATACAAGTTCACATACACATGACACCCAGACCCGAAACAACAATTTGTGGATCACACAAAGAGTTGTTACGTGCGGGAATCGAACCCGCGACACGTTGCACGGCAGCCGGTTACCCAGCCACCGCACCAACCGTGCAGTCTATCTATCAATCTATAATCAGCCTCGAAACTAGTCAAAACATCCCGAAAGTAATCGAGACTTCCTCGAAACTTGTTAGACAAATATTTACGACATTTTTATAACTTATTCTGTATATTTCAGGCACAAGGACAATTAGGAATGTTATTAGCAGCGCAAGCGCATGCCGGACTAGTGCACTCAGCGCCGGCCAGACGCAAGCGACGCCGGGAACATTCGCCTACCTTACAGACTCATAAACGACAACATTAGTTCTACGGTATACTTGATTGATGCTTGAGATAGGGACTAGGTAAATGATATACAAAAAATATATATGTTAAACGGTTTTATTTAGCTTCAAACGCCGGCAACGCACCTGTGACTCCTCTGGTGTAGCGGGTGTCCATGGGCGACGGTGATCGCTTACCATCAGGTGATCCGTCTGTTCGTTTGCCTCATATTGCATAAAAAAAAGCTTGAGATCTATTCTACCAATCAAGCCCTTTCGTTTCTCCGGCCACCGTAAGCGCGGGCCTGCGGATGGCGAGTATGGGTGGCTCCCCGTCCGACCAGAAACAGACCCGAGCGGACGGCGCCGAGCGACATAAACAGCCAACAGTCCGCCACAGAAGGGGCCAAGCAGATCTGATGCCTGATACGGAGTCGCGGAAGGCCTAACGGGTTACCGGGGCTCCGGCTCGAAGCGCAGGAGTAGGAACGGGGTGGTTTTCAGTCAGTAAGAGTCTGACACTCCCTCTCGCTTGGTTGGTCGTTGGTAATTTGGTTCTGATCGGGCGGCGAGTCACCCGTCTGACACTTCCTCTCGCCTAACCCAAGGCGGGAAGTCATTGGATGATCCCCCCCACCCTCCTAAAGAAGCCCTTTCGTTTGATATCAATAATGGAGGTAGTTGTAGAACAATAGAGAATATTGTATGGTCATCAAGATTAAGAGTGTGTACCAAATATCAGATCGAACTGTCGTTAGGAAGGGGGTGAAATTACAATTACTAAAGACCCACAAACGGGGCAAGCTGAATAAAACCATTATGCTTTCGGCTTTTTGGCTAATTTGTTTTTTAATGTTCATACCCTGTCATCGTCCCTATTGTATAATAATTCAGTTTTATTAATAAAAAATATTATAAACGATCAATTAGACAACAGCCTTCATAAATATGTACACCGTGAAATCTATTTCGTTTTCGTCCCGAAGTAAAATGGTTCTGTCTCGGTAATACAATAGTATTACAAAGAAATAGACTGTTTAAAACAAAAGATAACTGGTGAACCATTGCAAGCAAACTTCGAAAGCGCATACGAACTCATAGTACATTATCAAAACACCACGTCATGTAATTGTCGAAGAGGTGTTTCTCGTCGGGTGCGATGCACGTGCGATGCGGATAGTGCATACAAATTTACGTCTAGTGTTTCATGTGAGGATTTACATTATTTTTTTAAACTAAAAAAAATGCCTCGTTGGCCGAGTGGTCGCAAGTGCGACAGCCGGTCTCGGGTTCGATGCCCGGGTCGGGCTAAGTATTACTGGGTTTTTAAAAATATCAGTAGTAGCACGGAGTCTAGAAATGTGCCCGATATATGGCAATAGGCTCACCCCCTATTACATGGGACTCATAACGTTAATAGTGAAAGTGAATGTTACCTCTGTGTGCACCTCTGCTTACCTCTTCGGGGATAAAAGGCGTGATGTTATGTTATGTTAAAAAAATACATCTGTAATTTTTTGTTTTTACTTTATACATGGAAAGTACTCCTTATGGCAAGTTAAGGGCGGGAGAGCCATGCTTCGGCATGAATGGGCCGGCTCGACCGGAGTGATACCACGGCCGAGCAGAAAACCGACGTGAAGCAACGCTTGCGTTGTGTTTCGGCGTGTGAGTGAGGTTACCGGAGGCCCTATTACCCTCCCCTTCCCCAATCTCCCAAATCCCTGAATCCCCAACGATCATCAAACTCCTAATCCCCAAAAGGCCGGTAACGCACTTGTAACGCCTCTGGTGTTCTATGTGTCCATGGGCGACGCCGATTGCTTACCATCAGGTGATCCGTCTGCTCGTTTACCGGCTTATGCCATAAAAAAAAATAGTTTTGCCGCGCGACGGAAACGAGATAGATTTCATGCTGTATAATGCAAGTTAGATAAACGCTCATGAAATAGTTTTAACGAATATTGTAATTGCTATAAATAAAAATGGATTAAAATGTCGCACATTCAAAAAGTACAATTTTATAATTGTTTAAAATATAAGTCTTGTACAGTCATCCATGTTATTTAGTATGCAGGTAATAAATATAGATTTATTCAGTACAGAGACAGAAGCCATTGGTTGTCTAGAGCCGACTGAGTTTATTATTATTATTTTTAATGTGACAAGCCCGCAGCTACCTCCCAATACCGCTGCAACTCCTGCAGCTGTAGCCAAATGCCATTTAGCGCTTGTTTACATGTAGAATAGAAAACCAAATTATATGGAACTAGTTTTTACCCGCGGCTTCGCTCGCGTCACAAAAGCATAATAAGTAGCCTATGTGACATATACCGATAGGTATACACAGCGCCATCTATACCAAAACTTTTTATTTCCCTCGGTAATATCAAATTTTTCCAGGATAAAAAGTACCCTATTATTTAATCCGGACTTGTAACTTTACGTCTGCAAAAATTCAAAGCAATCGGTTTAGTAGTTACGGCGTGAAAGCGGAACAAACAAACAAACAAACTCACTTTCCAATTTATAATATTAGTAAGGATTTACGTAAATTTCGACACTTGTCAGTGTCATCCCCATACATTTAGTTTTCTACTCTCTCTGTAGACAAGCGCTGAAGTGGCGTTTGGCTAAAGGCACTGTGCACCAGGATCTACAGTAGATACAACAATGAAAACACCGGAACACTGAAGTCCGACGTCCCAGGGACATGAGTAACTGTCTTGGTTCCGGCAACGAAGTGAATTAGAGTTACAAAAGATATGACTTCGGTACGTAGCATACAATTTAGTATAACTATAGCTGTCCCGGAGAACCTAACGGGTTACCGGGGCTCCGGCTCGACGTGCAGGAGAAGGAACGGGGTGGTTTTTAGTCAGTAAGAGTCTGACACTCCCTCCCACCTCACCCAGGCGGGATTTTCCCCCCTTAAAAAAAAGTATAACTATAGCTAGCTAGCTATTCTGTCTCCTGCAGTAATTCACCGAGGGAAGTGGAAACTATAGTTTTTTCTTCTCCTTTTATAATATCTTCTGATTCACTTCGTTGCGGGAACCAAGGCAGTTACTCATATCCCTGGGACGCGCCGGACTTCAATGTTCCGATGTTTTCATGGTTGTATCTACTGTAGATCCTGGTGCACAGGAGTTGCAGCGGTTTTGGGAGGTTGTAGCGGGCTTGTCCCATTAAAAAAATAACCATAGTTACTGTCTCTGTATTGAAGCAATCTTTATATTATTACCTACATACTTAATGATTTGGCTGTTTATATTAAAAATGTATAAGCAGGCACCATCGCTTATTTTGTAGCTCTTTCTAATTCACAATTGTTATGTTTCCTATATTCAAAAATTGTACCTTTTAATACATAAAACTATTTATAAATAGTCTCCTGTTTACTGCCTCGTTGGCCGAGTGGTCGCAAGTGCGACTGCTGGGTGCTGGGCAAGGGGTCTTCGATTCTCGCGTCGGGCAAAGTTTTACTGGCTTTTTTAAATATCTCAGTCATAGCACGGAGTCGGGAATTGAGCCCGGTATATGGCAATTCTTGATACCCCTTGTCCGGCCGTCGCACTTGCGACCACTCGGCCGACGAGGATGTATTACGAAAAAAGTATAGATTTTTGTATTGTTGGAGACATCCTTATTGTGATTATTTATAAATACATAATTAATCTTATACTATTATATAAAGCGGAAGAGTTTGTTTTTTTGTTTGTTTGTTTGTTTGAACGCGCTAATCTCCGTAACTACAATAATTTGAATAATTATTTTTGTGTTGGATAGCGTATTTATCGAGGACGGCTATAGGCTATAAAACATCACGCTACGACCAATAGGAGCTGAGCAGAGCGTGTGAAACCGCGCGGAAGTAGCTAGTCTTTTATAACTATAATTATATTTAGAATAAATTTCAATATGACTTTTGTAAATCTAAATTTGGTTAAGTATCTGACACCCGCGGGGAGACTAGGGATAGTAACAATTGTCGTCTGTAAATAAAAAGGAATTTTTAAAGTCAAAACTCGACCGGGTATCATACACCCGCGACAAGAGAAGCGGTGGTTACAAATGTCTTGTATAGTTAAAAAAGGTTTGTTATGTATTTATGAATAAAAATGTATGTATATGTCTTTGTAATGTTTATTTTTTACGTATAATTATGTAATACTTGGAGTAAGTCAATAAATGACAATAAAGTGAGAATTTTGTTTTATTTCTTGGTACTTAGCTTGTGCCCGCGGCTTTGCCTTCAGATAGAAAGTAGTCTATGTTGGTGCAGTGATTCCGCAAGGGTCAGGGTGCTTACTCTTGAAACCAATCTTAATGCAATGCAATTTCAATCCAATAAAACCTCAGTAATTATTCAATGTCAACACTATACAACCACAAACGTAGCTGTTACAATAGCATTCAGAGTACGGAATATAAAGCCAAACTCAACACCATTTAGTCCATTCAATATCGACGCAATACGGATGCAATAGGCGCTAGTGTTGCAACTCAAGAGTACGACACAATATCAATGTCGATCGATCGGAATTGGATTCAAACTCAAATTCAAAAGCATTTATTTCAATTAAACCATAATTTGGTACTTTTGAAACGTCAACAAATATGAAATAAAATAATAGTCTGTCAGTCTGTCCGTCAGTGAAGCTAGGCGCTCGTTCCAAAATGTCGATTCGAGTGGAGAAGAACGAGCAAGAAACTCCATTCGTTACTCTTTTAAAAAAGTCTGTTTTACATTGCTCTGATACATATTCCAATATTGTACACACATGTGAGAATAATGTAAAGACATACCTGACGCAACATGCAAATAACAGAACGTACTAAAATAAAAAAAAAACAAAACCAAGAGAAAACAAATAAGTATCTTAAGTCTGACATGGTCCCCACATATGTATACTGACAATCCATATAAAATAGTGCTTCTATACAAGAAAAAATAATAAAAATAAACTCTAAAGAATGAAATGCTCGATGCCACAAGAAAAATAGATTGCCTTCATCGGAATCAAAGTATTAAATTACC